AACTTCATGATGCCGAGATCAGCTTCTGTGGGTCTCCGTAGCTGTGGCTCCTTACTGCTTTCACTGACTGACCAGGTGGGGTGAGCTCGCTGGGCATGTGTTGAGGTGCCCAGGATGTTGTAGGGAGTAAGCTAATTTTAAAAACAAAAACCCTACCAGGTGGACCGGAAAAGGTTTGACCCCCAAATACTCACAGAACTTCCCCTGGAAGTGACAGGACGTGATTTCTATAGAATGACAGACTAATTCTAGCACCTTTTCCTCATACTGTACTATTTTTAACAGTAAAAAGATTTATATGTGGGACAGTGTTCAGTTTATCAGACCGAATGACATATTTTGAACAATTGGTAGGAACCTGGATTTGTTTTGAAAAACATCTAGACAAAAGATTGTAAAACTTTTGTTTTTCTTATTGTGAGAAGAATTTTTCTTAGAACGAAAACTATAATAGTGGCTAACATTTACTTAACGTTTTCACTCTGTGTGTATCATCTCACTTAACCTTACAGGCACCGCTTTGAGGTAGGTAGGCATTGCTACCATAGCTGTTTAATAGATGGGAAAACTGACATATGGATCCAGGTAAGGGGCTCGCCGAAGGTTACACTCTAGGAAGTGTTATCAGGATCCGAACTTGGGCAGTCTGGCTACAGATCCTACACTCCTAATCATGATTCTGTATTCCCTCTTGTGAGAAGTGTTGTGTTTTAACTATCACCTGTGGAAGAAACGTTAACTCTGGTGCTGTCGCAGTGGAGTTAAGCAGAAGCAGACCTATGAACAGTGCGACAGGCCGGTTTTGATCTTATCATTGTCTAAAAGTGAGACTTGATAAAGTGGTTTTGTAACTTAAATGGTATTTTTGATAATGTTTGCTGGAGAAGAGGAATTTGCAGTTGTCTCCACCCAGACAGGCGTCCCTCCCGCTTCCTGACCCACAGGTAGGGGCCTCGAGTTGGGCCTCCCGATGATTCTGGGGAGAGGCTGCTGAGCCCCCCAGCAGGGGCGCAGGCAGTCCCGAGGCTCGCACAGTGTCACATGCAGGCACCACGCTGGCCAGGGCTTCAGGGGGACCCGCTGTCTGAACAGGACTGAGAGGGTGGTCAGGACCTGTTATGACATGTGTCCTTGTCCACGACATTCAGATTCTCTACCAGTTGTCTTGATGAATTTTGTTGTTTTGCTAATTTTGCTATTTTTCCACTGGGCTTTTTAAAAAAAACTTGTGTTTTATTTTCTCAACAGATTTAAAATTTCTAATTTCTATTAGTGGTATAAGGACCTAGCCCTTAAAGGTGTGTAGTGTAACTAAAACCAGAGGCCACCACTGGCTCCAGCCCTCAGTGGACTGTTTCTCAGTGCCCAGGCACCAGCTTGTCTCCTGATGTGTTGGACACCTCCTGTGAGGCAGATTCAGAATTTATGTCAGAGTTGGCTCCTTTACCTTTATTCTCAGAAATATTTCTTCTGATTAGAGTGAAAGAAGAGAATGTGCCACGATATTTTAGAGTGAAAAGTATATTCTGAGAGTGTTTTTCAGATGTACATTTGCTTAAATCATTTACTTCCACTGAAAGTTTGAGCATTAAATGCTGAGGTAGCATTGTTTCTAAGGTCTCAGCAGTGGGACAGAATAATAAGTTTACTACACATTATCCTTTCATCAGTTCCTTAGGTATTTTCCATTTTCATCCATGAATTTAGCTGCTGTGGTTGACTCACAGGCAGGGGACATGGGCTGCTTTGTTTCCTGGTTCTACTATACAGGCCAAGATGGGGGCAGCTCCAGCAAAGCAGATGTGCTCAGACAGAAGATGCAGTTGAGATTTTGAGAAGAGATTGAAGTAAATGATTTTCTATTTTCTCTTTCAGCAGAATAAATGGAATTGTAAAGGACTGCTCTTTCAATAGTGTCCATCTTAGGAGGTAAATTAGGGGGTGGCAGGGCTGCAGGGACCATGGACTGCTGAAAGAGTTTGAGCAAGGGGACACTCGGGTGTGTGGCCAGTCACCTGCCCTGGCATGTGGAAGGCAGGCTGTCATTTCAAGTCTACTGACTGGGTAATATAGCATGGGCATTTTGGTTAAACATTTTGATTCTTTCAGTAAAATATTGCAGCCTCGTTTTGGTAAATTATTCTTTATTGCTCAGAGCAGCCTCGCCGGCACGAACTGGGTTTCTTTGAGCAAATCTTGCCCATTCGGTTCGAGTCCATCCTTATAACTGGGATGATTAACATCTGTCTAGAGCATTGCTGTTTCCCTCTCATCTAGTCCCCAGTGACTCCTTGAGGTAGTATTGGTATTCTTAGGATCCCTGTTTTAGCAGACTGAGTCTCGGAGAAGTTAAGTGATCTCTTAGGTCACAGAGCTAATGCTTTTTTTAAGCATTTCTTAAATCCAGATCACCTTACTGTAAATCTCATAATACTGTTGCTACTATATAATGTGACTTATAGCAACTAAGAATGTTTTTCATGGGAAATGTTAGAGCAAATTGGAAGATTCTTCAGTGTCATAATGCTGTTATCCTTCCTGTTATTTATAAATTTTAGAGGAAAGCCAAAAAAAAAAAAGGCCAGGATAGCACTGATTATGGTTCCTTCATAGATGGTACAGAGCATCAGTCAGTATTTGGTGAACTGATGAATGGCATTTTTTATGTTGAAATAAAACATCAATGTGTTTTACAGTGTGTCTAAGAAGCCTCCCTGATGCTGGCTTTGCCCCTGGGTGGGCCCTCTTGGACAGTTCACTTCATCACCTGGGGCCCTTTTCCTTAATCTATAGAATGAAAGAACTGAACCAGCCTATCTCTAGTACTCCTTTAATTAAAATTCTTGGATTTTATAAAACTTTATAACTCATGTACAAAAATGAGTAAATAATATGAGAAGTGTTAACAAATGTTTTGTTTACTTAATATTTTTAGTAAAAGTAACTCTTAGGTCCCTGAGTAACTGGATCAAAAAATAAGTTCTTTGCCAGCACTTTTCTTACTTTCAAACTGGCCTGCTACATTTAATGTTTATTGACCTGCAGATAACAAAAGTGTATTTTATGTTTGTGGTATTGCTCAGTGAACAAGCTATAGTATGGAATTTATGTTTTAAGCTTTTCTATATTAAAAATGGAAGTCAGGTTCTGTATGCAGATTAGGGAGAACCAGGAGCCACCAGGTGATTGTCAGTTTTCAACGAGACATATGCTTAACAGCAAGAGAACTCTCACAAGCTTAGCTTAGATTTGCCATCATTAGTCATTAGGGAATTACAAACGGAAACCACAGTGAGCTACCACTCATTTAGAGTGGCTAAAGTTAAAAAGACCCTATCAATTATCAGTGGGGGAATTGGAACTTTTATACATTGCTGGTGGGAATGTAAAAATGGTACACCACTTTGGAAATGTTTGGCAGTTTCTTAAAAAGTTAAACATAACCTACCATATGATCCAGCCACTCTGTACCTCGGTTTACCTAAAGGAAAGGATACCCGTAAGTACATACAGAAGCTGGGCACAGGTGTTTATAGCAGCTTTATTTGTAATGAACAAAAACTGGGGATAACCCAAATGGCCATCAGTAGATGAACAGATAAACTATGCATATACATACAAGGGAATGCTGTTCAACAATAAAAAGGAAGGAGTATTGATACGCACAATAGCACAGATGAATCCCAAAGTAATTAACCTGAATGAAAGAAGCCGGACATACTGTACGGCTCCATTTCTATAATTTTTTTTTAGAAAATGTAAGCTAATTTATAGTGGCTGAAAGCAGAGAAACTGATTGCCAGGGAGGGAGGGAGACAGGGCATAGGAAAGCTTTTGGGGTGATGGAGACGCTCACTTTCCATGGTGTTGTAGACATATGGCAAAGCTCACTGCACTGGACACTTTAAATTCATGTGGTTTATTGTACATCAGTTATACCTGAATAAAGCCATTTTGTAAAAAGATTAGTATGGAAGCAAAAGACCAAATGTACGCATGGTTTATTTTTGCAAGTACAGTTTGACTTATGAGCCCCGTAGGTGGCAACCATTGGGCAAAGTGTCAGGGGGTCTCCTGACTTGATCTTTCTCACTGCAGCCAACATGATGAGATGTAGAGATGGAGACACATGCAAGATGCACGAGATGACCCTTACCTCCCTGAGGCAGCCGAAAGCATTTCTCCACATGCAAACCACTGCCAAGCCACCAGGGCCCATTCGGTTTAATTAATTGTCTTTTTCAGTTCCCTGAGTGGTGCCCCAGAGACCTGAAGGACTTAATGGGTTTCCAGGAAGTGGCCAAGTGCCCTGGTCCCTGGTGCCTGCCAGGCCTAAATATGGTCTTATTCCAAGTTGTTTTTACTAGTCAGGGTCCCTAGTGACGTGTTTAATGGTAGAGGCAATAAGGGTGTTTAAGCATTTTCAGTGTGCACGCCCTTTCCCCAAAGGTCTGAACTACCAGTGGGCCAACCCATGGTGGCCTGGGCTGGGTGTTGTTACCTTGGGAGCACCATGTCCAAGTCTACCACCAGGCTTGTTGGTGAATTTTTCTCTCCACATTGTATGCGTCCTTCTGTCCTGAGGGTATCAAGCACCTGCCTCTGAGCAGTGGTCTCATAATTAATAATGGTTTGGATGCCCTCGCTGAAAATAAATTTATCTGCCAAGTAAGAGTCAGGAAACACATCAAAGAATGTCTCTTACGTTCAGCAGATGTTTCTGTTGTCTGAAGGGGGCTTATTTCCATCGTGCTGCAGATTGAGCCTTGGAAGAGTGGGAAAGAGCGGCTTCCCTTCCCTTTCCTTTCTCTCTTTTGTGACAGTCCCCTCCTCCTCACTGCCTGTTTTTCACCACGCAACAGAGGCGTACTGCTTTTTTTGTGCATGTGTTGCCCTGGCAGTCTGTTAGGGACGCTTCTCCCTCCTTCCCCCCTCCCCTCTCTCTGGGGGCAGTCTCACCACACCATCCCCGCCTCACCGTACCCTCTCCCTGTTCCCAGCTGTGGACATGGCTGGAGGAGCTGCAGAAGGAGCTGCTGGACGACGTGTATGCCGAGTCAGTGGAGGCCGTGCAGGATCTCATCAAGCGCTTTGGCCAGCAGCAGCAGACGACCCTGCAGGTGACCGTGAACGTGATCAAGGAAGGGGAGGACCTCATCCAGCAGCTGAGGTGGGCCTCGTCCCTTTCCTCTGGTCTGAACACAGATTCTGAAATCCTGCCAGGGATTTCCCTTCCTCTTTTCCTTTTGTGAACAATTAGCTGTAAATCTCTGTCCAGCTCGGGAGAGGACAAATGACATCTAGGAACACAAAAGAGAGTAAACTCTCTCTTCTCTCTCTTTTTTTCTCTCCCTCCTCCCTCCCTCCCTCCCTCACAGTTTCTTTAATTCCATGTTTTTTCTCATTATAACATTGACTTATAAACCACAGAATGCAGCTTTTATTAGTATTTCCTCTTAGCACCTACCTAATAATAATGGAAATTTCTTTATAACCGGATGAGTCTGAACCCCCTTAGGATCGCGGCCTCAGGCCCTGTCGAGTGTAGTCAAAATACATGGTCTCCAAGTGCAGGCACAGGAGGGTCTCTGCGTGCCGGGACTCCCATCCTGCAAGCGTTCATTCCAGCAGGAGGCCGTGCAAGGCTGCAGTTGTTTCCTTTGGAAATAAATTTGTTTTATAGGGTTATGGGGACCATTGATATCATTTAATCCCCCTACCGTATTACTCAGAGGACAATTTATCAAATCGTTGACTGATAACCTTCCATGATGTTACTTTGGTAAAAGAGAGTCAGGCAGGAGTTACTTAATAAAAGCTTAATTGATTGCATTAAAGGTTAATCTCTCATGACCAATATGACTCTATCATTTGTACTGAACAGGTATCATCTATTCTCCCTACTTAAAGAGAAAAGTGGTTAAAAATAAAAATCTACTAAAGTGATATTCTGTAAATAGTACACTTCTCATAAGAGTGACTTCGAGAAGATGCCTAGAGGTTCCACAGCGTCTCCTGGGAGGAGGCAGGCTGCTGCCGGCTGCAGGAGGGGCAGCAGCCCAGCTTCCTGCAGCTTCTTCCCCCGAAGAGCCGAGCTGCCGGATCTGGGGTGAGACTTTCTCATTCAGTTCCCGTTTGCCTTGTTAAAGCCGGGCTTCCCTCGTGTGCCCTTTCTCAGGGACTCCGCCATCTCCAGCAACAAGACGCCCCACAACAGCTCCATCAACCACATTGAAACGGTGCTGCAGCAGCTGGACGAGGCCCAGTCGCAGATGGAGGAACTCTTCCAGGAGCGCAAGATCAAGCTGGAGCTCTTCCTGCAGCTGCGCATCTTCGAGAGGGATGCCATCGATGTGAGTGTCCCCAGGCCACTGCCTTCTTGTCTGGGGGGACCCGGCTTCCCCTCTGCTGTCCTTTGCCTTGTTCCATCCTGCGCCTTCTGCTCCTCCACCCCCTGCACAAGGAGGAGGCAGAGGAAGGAAAGAGCTGGCCTGGGCGCCTGAAGACGTCCTGGGGTCGTCCCAGGAGGATGGGGGACTCTCAGCTCTGGACTCGAAGGTTGAGGACTACAGTGGAGGCAGCGCAGGTGGCAGGAGCTGAGACATGTGACACCTGTGGGGACTGCCCTGTGCTCTTCCTCTGCCCTTCCTCTCCCGCCCCCCTGTCCCCACTAACGCCCTTTCTCTTTCTCTCCTTCGCCCTCCTGTTCCCCCTCCTCCAAGTGTAGGGATAATCTTAGCCCATAGTGACAGTGTTGGAGGTTGCAGGAAACCCGGGTTTTTTTGTCCAACAGAGGTCTTCTCAGATTATAATTTTTACCTATAAATGGACTTTTGCTCCATACATGTGAAGTACAGTTTCCTCTTATCTTTCTTCAACAGAAAGAGGGTAGTTCTGAGCGCTGTGCTGAGGAAGATTTTTGTTTCTGCTGTGATGTGGTGCAGGCAGTAGTAGCATAATTGGGTGAAAGGAGCCCAGCTCTCTTCAGCCTGGGTGAGGCCAGTTCCCAGTGCCAGGCAGCTTCATAGCTGGCAGCAGTGACCGACCTCTGAGCCACCAAGGTGCGCCCTGTGACTGTGACGGGGCTTTGGAGCACATCTCTCCATATTCTTCACTTATGCAGGGCTTAGGACTCCTCAGCAGTGCCTGGAGGGCACTCGGGCCCAGACCCTCATGTGCCACCAGGGCAAGGGAGGACAGGACTGGACTGTCATGTGCGTGGACTGCCCTCGTTACCTCAGCTTGGTGAGGGGCTGTGCCCATGGTGAGTCGTGTTCTCCCCATGCTGAGTGGCGGTTTGGTGTGTGGTGCAGGGCCAGGCCAGGCCTGTGCACTCGTACAAGTGCCTTTGGCCGCTTGTTTGAATGTCCAGCACTTGTTTTTATTAAAGAAAGACCTCTTAACTCTTCTCATTGTCATCATTACTTCATGACGAGAAAGGAGTTAGAACCTAACCACATTGCCTGGTAAACACCTGCTGACGTGCCCTCGGGGTCTTGACATTTAGATCCAAAAGAGGCCACACAGAGAGAAGGCGCCCGGCCTCTGCCCAACAAGGCCCTGCCTGGCCTGGGCCTGCCTCCAGCTTCCAGGTAGTAGCACAGGACATGAAGAAGAACAAGCAGGCCCATTTTCCTTTTTGACTTCAGAGGACTTGCTTTTGTGAAACTTAATTAAGAAAAACAAAGCAATCAGAATCATTAGCTGAAGTTTTTCTTTTAGGACATTTTGATATTTGAAAACAAAATTTAACTTCATTTGTATTAATGCTACTTTAAAGGAGAAAAATAATTTTTTCATTGTGAATATTTCCATGTTCATTGAACCAGATTAGGAAACAAAAATACGTTTTCCTTATGCTGAAGCCACAAAACTACAAATGCCCTTGGTAAAGCCAGGGTGCCAGACCTCAGTGAGTGCATTCCCGAGCCAAGGACACTGAACCTGTGTGCTTTAGTCTCAGGCCAGTGCCACATAGAGTTTAAAAGCATTTAAGAGGTTATGGCCTAAGAACCTCCATTCTCCCTAATTATTCTGAAATGTGAAAATTTGAGCAGTTTAGGCTTTGGCTGGGATTTCCTCTCTTATCTGGGAAAATGCCACGTCTTACTGTCTGTAGGAAGCATAGAGTTTATGCTTATGGTAGAAATTTGTCTGTTTCTTGGTTAACTTTTTAGAAATCCCCCATCTCTCTTGTTTTTCAATAGGAGTAGCATTTCCATCTCTCAAAAGGTGGATCAAGGTTTACTATGGTTTTATGATATCCTCTTTTTAGAATATTGATATTTCAGCCTATAGATCTTCCGAATAAAATCTCTATTGCTCTAAAAAGACCAGCAAAATCATTAACAGAGCATCTTGTGACAGTTTAGTTATGAAAAATAATCATAAATATATGTAAATTTAGGAAGAGAAACTTAGACTTTCTGCAAATTCTGGAATACATTTTTAAAAGTTATTTCCAAGTTGTTTCTTCCAGCAATTAGTGTTCAGAAACTGACATCCACTTTCTTGAGTTGTGCTATTGCCGCAGATTTGTTCACTCTGCTGTTAACGACTGTAATGCTGAACTTTGGAGACAGGATCTTCTCTTCAAGATCTTTTGATCATAGCCTTTGTCAGGGTTTCTTTATGCTCAGTGACTGTTTTCAAATCCTGCTGGTTTTAGCGTGGTGATCTTTGTTTATTATCCGTTTCTTGAGTGTTGTCTGAGCCTGACAGTGTCTCCAGGAGGACAGTGTTGCTGAATCTGTAGCTCATCACCACACCTGATCTCCTCTCCCTCAGTGTCAGAAGACAGACAAACATCAAGAAAGAAAATTCCCCTTTGGAGTAGAGACAAAGATTAAAGTTATGATCATATTCTTTTCTTTTTGAAAATTTTTTTCTCAGTTTCTTCATGATTTATGTCTAGTTGGGCATTATTTAAATTTATTAATTTTTTTAAGTAGTACAATCTAATGAATTAATATAACATATATCATATTGTATGCAAACCCCAACATTAAAAGGATAAGATTTGTGCAATAGGAGTTTTGGGAATCTTTAAGGTTTTTATTACTTCCCATGTCCTACCTGAATTTTTATGTAAACTCTCACATTCTCAAATTTCATACTGACTTGCTTTAGTTCTCATGGATATCTCACTGGATAAAGTTAGGATGCATGGGAAATGTTATTTTGTTTACATGTATAGTATAATATTCTTTCACAAGAAGTTTTTTCTTCCTTCCTGAATTTTATAATTTTTAGTCTTAATTTTTAAAAATTATGTTATGAAAGTTTTCAAACCTACACAGAAGTAGAGAGGATAGTACAATGAAATTTTCCTTTGCCTATCCCCAAAATTCAGCAATACTTTTCCACCCTTACTTCCAGTATCCCTGCTTTTGTTATTGATGTACTATAGTATTTTAGAGGAAATCTTATCATTTAACTTCAGAAGATGTTTCAAGTATCTCTAAAAGATAAGGCCGTTTTCTTTTTTTTTGTCTTTTTGTCTTTTTTTTTTTGTGATCGGCAACGGATCGCAACCCTCAGTGTCACGCCCGGACCGGACCGGGACCGGCAACGGGATCGCAACCTCGGCGCTGCCCCCGCTCCTCGCTCAGCCAGTGAGCCGCCGGTCTGCACATGGGATCCGAACCCTCGGCGGGAGCGCCGCCGCGCTTCCCAAGCAGCACACTGTAGCAGTGCGCCACCGGGCCGGCCCAAGGCCGTTTTCTTATACACCCAAAATTCACTAAACACCTCCGCAATTTAACAGTGTTTTCTCACGTCTTCTGATACCCAGCCGTGTTCAGATTTGCACAGGTGCCTCAAGCATTGAGTAGTTGGTCCCTTCATCTAGAATCTTCTGTCCTTCCTCCTTTTTTTTTTTTTTTTTTTTAAATGCCATGACTTGCTAAATAGCTAGGTCTCTTATCAAAGGAAGCAGGTCCCACATTCTGCATTTGCTCACTTGGTTTCCTCAGGTTGTTTAACTGGTTTTCTTTCCCTGACATTTCCTCTAAACTTAGAAGTTAGATGCCAAGACCTGATTAGATTCAGTTTCCGTTTTTGTGCCAGGATGCTGCATAGGTGGTCCGTCATAGCTCCTGTGAGAGGCACATCCCGTCTGCTCCCACTCCCTTAGGGATGCTGAGGCCACGGCATCCTGACCCTTCTCTTGTTAAATTACCCCTCAGCCTTTCTCATGATTGCTTACTTTTCATTGATGATGGTTGCCTGAAACAGTTATTTTACCAGAATTTGTAAACAAATCATTTTCTAATTTTATTTTATTTTTCTACACTTAATAGCTAGATTTATCTATACAGAGGAACTTTCCTTCACCGTGAAATGCTTTAATAACTACTTTTCTCCTTTAATTTCTAATTTTCAGGATAAAGGTTGGTTTCCTCTAATTAATACCTAAGAGGTTTTCATTTATTTTTTGGCTTTTTAGCTCTTCTTCCTCCTCCTCCCCATCCCGCCCCATCCATTAGGAATTAAGGGATTTTGTAGAGTCAATTGTGGTAATTTTTCTTTTTGAGTATTTAATTGTCACATCTTTGACCAGTGAGAGCCCTTCCAACTGACTTCCATGTCTGTTTGTTTTTAATTTTCTTAAAGACTTTATTGAGATATGATTTCTATATCACAGAACTCATCCATCCTAAGTGTACAGTTTCTATGTCCTGTTGACACAATTAGTTCCTTCTTTATGTGGCACGGTGAGATGTGGCAGGATATGTTTATTTTTTAAGTCTTGATCTTAAATGCTTTCCTCTGTCAGATCATCTCAGACCTTGAGTCTTGGAATGATGAGCTTTCTCAGCAAATGAACGACTTTGACACAGAGGATCTCACAATCGCCGAGCAGCGCCTCCAGCACCATGCAGACAAAGCCTTGACCATGAATAACTTGACTTTCGATGTCATCCACCAAGGGCAAGACCTTTTGCAGTATGTCAATGAAGTACAGGCCTCTGGTAAGAAGGGTTGGCCTGTTCTATTTCAGTTGTGGTTTCTCCCTGTCACCATGGGAATTCAGTTTATCTGCAGTGTCATGACTGCAAATTGTGTTGGCCCCTGTGATATAGATTGTACAGATACCTATTCTTTAAAAGGAAACATTTTGCATTTTTTTCCCCACAGAAGAGTTATATTTAACATTATGGTTCAGGTATTTATCCTTAACATTCTCACAGCCTGACCTTTAATTTTACAAAATGATATGTTGTATCTCTGAATGGAATGTAAATCCCAAGAAAATATTTTCACATTCTTTATCTTTTTCTTAGCTTATATTTTACCAGCAGATGTCACTGTAGGCTCAGAAATGTAACTGTGTAGTATTAGAAACTTATTTAGCAACAACCTGCATACAACATAACTCATTTTACACAAGTTAAATGCTTACTAAAGAGTAAACTGTTTATATTGAGGATAACAAGAAAAACAAACCAAAGTTTGCTCATTTGTAAGGGATGCTACATTTTCATTAGTTATCAGTGCGGGAGTAGAAGTACCTATAGATTGAAAGGAAGTAGATTTGGTTTGATTATCTGGACATTCTTTCAGACACACTTGTGTGGTCAGAGGCTGACGTAAACACCCCTCTACTTGGCTGTACTCTCTTTGAAGTTGCCCTTCTGCGTAATGGCTTGGCCCCCAGCTGGGCAACCCATTCACAAAAGCAGAAGGTGTTATCCACCATCTGGGCACAGAAGGTTGAAGGCTGAGTTCTGGGGTCTCCCTTCAATGTCTGCAGGTGTGGAGCTGCTTTGTGACAGAGATGTAGATATGGCAACTCGGGTCCAGGACCTGTTGGAGTTTCTTCATGAAAAACAGCAGGAATTGGACCTAGCTGCAGAGCAGCACCGGAAGCACCTGGAGCAGTGTGTACAGCTGCGCCACCTGCAGGCAGAGGTGAAGCAGGTGAGCCAGGGACTGGATGTGGGTCAGTCTGCAGCGCCCGGTCACAGCACTTGATGAGTGATCTCCTGGGGAAGACCATCTCCGATCAGCCACAGCTGCCCTGATACCTAAGATAACACACACATTCTCCCAGTGCAGCTGTGCCTAATGTGTAAAAAGGGAGCCAGTGGCCTGGATGGCTCTGTTTGCTCTATAGTAGAAAAGTCTTCCCCATCCGGCAGGTGTAGCACTTGAGAATCCATTAGCTTGTCTTGTTATTGGTAGTCTCTTGCTCGCAACCCTGAGCACATTTCTTTCTGGGCTAAATAATTGTATGGTTTTTCTGCCAAATACTGTTTATCAGTCTGGATGGGATCACAGACTGTGTATGGCAGGAGTTTTTCTTGTATTATTAGGATACTATAATACCCCATTCTGGATGGCATGGCAAAGTAAAAGTGGAGCATGTGGAAGGGATTGCTTTTGGCTCAATGCCAGTGGGAGTCCATACATGGATATGACATTTTATCCCATGGCAGAGAATCTGCTGATGATACTGACTCAATAGAGGGAAAGTAAGGCTTACGGTGTTCTCTAGATGCACAGAAAGCAAACAGTAGTTTGGTTGGCAGGGACTTAAGGTTCCTCTGTACTTGGTGCACAAGTAGGTGGCACTCACATTAGGGCAGATACACTGTTCAGTCAAAATTGTTTAAAAGAGCACCTGTTGGTCTCCTGTGAGCCGTCAGTGGTATGGGTGCTTTCACATATAAATGAAAGGAAGTATCATGACCTGCTAACGAAGTGTTTTTTCTTGCCAAAACCAAAACAATTCATTTAAGAAATAAAGGAATAAACTGCTGTATCTCAGGGATTGTGAGTAGCAGAAACTAAAATATAATGACTTAAGAAAGGTGTTTTCCCCAGGTAACAAGTCAGGAGACAGTAGATTGCTAGTGTTCATTCAGTGGCCCTGTGATAGGTTAGCCTGAGATCTCGGTGATAAGTGACCTTTCCCTCATGGTTGCCAAACGGGTCGTGACTCCAGCCTTCACGTCCACATCCCAGAAAGGGAAGCCATAACAAGAAAGAGACAGTGCCTGTATCACAAAAGAAGTATTTTCACAAACTCTTCCAGAGGCTGATGTTTTTGTTTTTGTTTTTTTCCATTTTGTCTTTTTTGGTGTCCGGCAACGGATCGCAACCCTCAGTGTCACACCCGTACCGGACCGGGACCGGCCACGGGATCGCAACCCTCGGTGTTGCTCCCGCACCTCGCTCAGCCAGTGAGCGGCCGGTCTGTATGTGGGATCCGAACCCTCGGCGGGAGCGCTGCTGCGCTTCCCAAGCGGCGCACTGTAGCAGTGCGCCACCGGGCCGGCCCCAGAGGCTGATGTTTTGATCTCATCGGTTAGAATCATGCCATAGTTCTAACTAAATGGTAACAGGTGCTGAGAAGTGTTTAATTTTTTAAGCCCTCCCCAAAAGTTTGGGTTTTCTGAGTAAACAAGAAGAGGAAAGTAGGTATTGTAGGTAACTTGAGGTGTTGCCACACACAGCAGTGACCTCCACAGTTTCCGTGGCTTCCACTGTCAGGACTGACTTGTGTTTTTGTTGGTGTGTGAAGTTGAGAATCTCATGGTTTGACCCTGAGAATCTTAGTACTGCTTAATTCCTACTTTGTTTTTTTTTTTTTTTTGAAAAGATGACCGGTAAGGGGATCTTAACACTTGACTTGGTGTTGTCAGCACCTCGCTCAGCCATTGAGCTAACCGGCCATCCCTATATGGGATCCGAACCCAGGGCCTTGGCGTTATCAGAATCACACTCACCCGAGTGAGCCACGGACCTGCCCCTTAATTCCTACTTTGATTATTATGCCATTTAACACTGCAGTTAAATTGGAAAGGAAGTTAGTGAAATAAATTAGTTCCCCCTTATGAAGCAGTTTGCCAATTTTGCATGTTCATTAGGACTGAAAGGAAATGAAAAATATTTTTCTTGATTATCAGGGAATTCTTTGTGACAGTAGGTTTTCTAATATGTGGTTCTCGAACCATTTTGGCCTGTGGACTAATCTTAATCTTCTGGACCCTTCACCTTTTCAGTTCCCATTTGCTACTAAAATAACAGAATTAATTTAAAATATGCAGCACTTGTGATCAGAGACCACTGAAGGATATCAGGCTGTAGCTAGTAGAATAATAAAAAAAAAAATCACTTCATATCTGCCAGGAGCCACTGGATCACCTTGCAGACTTCATCCCATGCCTGGCAGTCTGCAGGATGTACTGGAAAGCCTGCTGCTGGAGTTATCTTGTGTAATGTTTCAGGTGCTGGGATGGATCCGCAATGGAGAGTCCATGTTAAATGCAGGCCTAATTACAGCCAGCTCGTTGCAAGAGGCAGAGCAGCTCCAGAGAGAGCATGAGCAGTTCCAGCATGCCATCGAGGTAAGAATTCCTGTCCCTGTCACTGTGAGTGGGATTTTCTGTCCTCAGGACAAGCCTGCTAAATCCCTAATGTGGCACTGACCATGGGAGTCAAATGGGGCTCTATCAGTGAAGAAGATTCACAGGACCCAAAGTGACAATGCTTATAAACGTACAGTTGGTTACAGGCGAAGGAGAAAGTACTGCTACTGCAGTGAAGGGAAGGCGAGCCTCCTAGCAAGGGTCTGAGAGGCCAGGCTTCCTGTCGTCCTCCTGCTAGGAGGGCCCTGGCAGAATTGCTCTCTTTGATCAGGAACACCTTGGAACCAAGGAGCCCAAACTGGGTTATCAGCTGAGGATTTCCTATTATTTTGCTGGACTTGTAGCACATTCCTGCTATGTAACCAGTCTCAACAAAGCGGAGAGCTCGGGGGGTGGGGGTGGGGGTTCACCAAGTGCAGGTGCAAATCGTGAATTCACTGTAAATCACTAAACAGTGCTGCTGACAACAAAACTCCTCAGACCCCTGCTTTAAAGCAGCATTATTCACCTTGACAAGGGTTAGGGCCATGCCAGAACCGTAGCAGAACAGCTTGGGCCACTTCCAGTCTTGCTCACAACCACTCTCAGCATGTAGTCTAATTATTTTTAGGGGTTTTTTTGAGAGGGGGGCTTGGGTAATAGTCTGATTAGTGGTCTCAAAGTAAAATCAAAGGAAAAAGAGCATTTGATTACAGAAAACTTGTTTCCTGCTCTGCTTACGTACATATTGTCAGCCAGAACAGAAGGGCCCCAGAAGTCACCACTAATTTATTCCCTAGATTATTTGCCACTACTCACGGCTAATGGACACACATTAACATTTCTTCCTGAGGCTCAAAGCCTGGGCATCTTTTGTAAACTGTATACTGTGCCAAGTGATTTCTAGTAATTACAAGTAGTTAGTCACTGTTTCTGGGCAATGGATGGGCTATATTGTGTACTGTTTTATGGGATCATTCACATTTTTTCAAGTAAAATGCAAGATTTTGCTGTTGTGTAAAAAAAAAAAAGTGTGTCCATGGAGACCAGGTAACCTCCTGACTGACCCCTGCTGGCATTCTAGTTCTTCTAGAACTGGAGAGAACCTGACCTTGCAGCACCTCAGTTTTTCTTGTGAGAATATATGAGCAAATTCTAACTGGATTTGCATGGAATTTTCATAGATTTATCATATGGCAGGACGTTCAGAGAACACAGCTGGTTCATCCTTAGCTTTTCATTAATTTTTTCTTTTCTTTTTAAAATCTGTAGTTTTTGACTTTT